CCTTTCAGTCCGCAGGCCATCAATCTATCCATTTAGCCAAATCGGATTCGGCAATAAAAATATTTTTAAAAATAAGAAAAAATATAAATTCCAATTGAAAAATAATTACAAGAAATAAACAAAACCCCTTACTTGAAACATGTTCAACAACAGCAACAACAGAAGGAGGAGATCCAGAGATAATTTGACTCAAAAAACTCCCACAGTCAATAAATAGTAAAATCAATTTTTATGTGATATCACAGATATGCCTTCATTTATGATTAAATGTTGGGATGTTTTATAATAATGATTATGAGGTAAGCATCTATGAATAGGGAAAGAAGAGCTGCTCCTAATTCTACCATGTATTGATGTCTACATTGAAGGACAGTTAGGGAGACCAGAAACTCAGGTGGTAACTAGGTAACTTCCGGACAAAGGGAGGATAAGGTGCCAACTTCAGTCCATTTCAGGGCTTGAGAATGAAGAAAGAGGAGCCTGGGGTTGGGGGATGAGTGGGCAGAAACAAGAGAGGGAGAGAGAGGGAACAGGTAGAAACAAGGGAGCAGTCCGTGGGTGAGTAGTACTTGTTTATTTCTGTATCTCATGATGTTTTGAGCCATTAAACAGCTAGAAGGACAAGGAGAGACAGGGCGTCCCAGGGCCCGCCCACTCTCAGAGACAGCAAAGAATTTCAGATGCAAACAAACCCATCCTGAGCCCATATTCCCAGCCACCCCAACCTGCCCCAAATCACCCAGGACCTGGGACCAGACACATAGAGACCACGCCCACAGGCCCCTCCCCCAGACTGACACACACCAGCTGGTCCTGAACTGCTCACCCTGCCCTGCCTTGCGTTTCCCATGGGAACCCAATCAAAGCCTTCGCTAGGCTGCCCTGCAGCTGCATCTGCTTCCTGAGGAAATCCGGGGCTTCCCGGGCACAGCGGCCCCTCCTCTCAGGAGGTGAAAGGAGTAAAAGTCTTCTCTCCATGGCACTGACTCCCCTTGGCGTCACTCAGTCACTTCCACACACTGAAACCCCAGGGGCACATTGGAGGCAGGTGAGTCAGGAGCTTCCAGGGAGAAGGTGACATTGACGTCCCAGGACAGTCCCTCTAGCCTGGTGTCCACACCTCAGTCCCATCTTGGAGCAGCTGCAGTGCAGACCCTGGTCCTCCCAGGAGCAGGAGGGTCCCAGCAGCTGCGGGGGGTCTGTGGGGGGCGAGGAGAAGGGTCAGCGGTGCCTCTAATCTCCCCAGAACCCAGCTCTCCTGCCCCCTGGGGTCTCCCCACTCACAGACCACGGAGAGGCTGAGAGAGACGCTGTGGGAGCCCAGCGGGTGCCGAGCTTGGCAGGTGAACTCTCCTTCCTGTGCAGGCCCCACGCGAGGCAGCTCCAGGATCGCGGTGCTGGAGATGGGGGTGGCGTTCAGGCCTGGGGACCCCCGGAACCAGCTCAGCTCGGCAGGGGGGTTGCTGTCAGCCTCACAGCGCAGCCTCAGGGCCTCTCCCTCCAGAATGAGAAGGGATGTGGTTTGTAGATTCTTGAAGGCTTTCGGTAGAGAAATGGAGAGAGAGAGAGAGAGAGAGAGAGAGAGAGAAGAGAGAGATGTGTGCAGGCACCCACCCACCAGAGGTGAGGGACTCGGGTGATGACTTTCATCCTTGCCCTTCCCATGTCTCATCGCATTCAACCTCCTGCTCCCCCCTCTGCCCCACCATTTGGTCTCCCGACTGCTTGCCTCCTGCGGGCTTTCACTCTAAGGGAAGAAGTCAGCAGCCAGAATGGCTCAGGCACAGGTGGGCAGCTGCCCCCACTCCCTGATGGACAACAGAGGCATCCCGACCCTGAGGCCATTCTCGGACCCTCCTGACATGCAGGTGAGGACCCCGTCCCCCTGAATTATCCAGGGGCTTGGCCAAGTCTGAATTTTCATCACCAAGGCCCCTCTCACACGCAGAGACTTGTGCACGAGCCATCATCAGAGTAATTCGTGGCAGCCAAAAAGTCCAAGCAACCCAATGTCCATCAATGAATGAACGGACAAATCAAATGTGCCCCATCCATACCGTGGAATATTATTTGTAAATAAAAAGCAATAGAGTGCTGACACATGACCCTTGAAAATGTCATGCCCCTAGCCAGTTTCTCAATGGTTAGAGCATTGGCCTGCACACTGAAGTTCACAGGTTCAATTCTTGTTCCAGGACATGGACCTGGGTTGCAGGTTCAATCCCCATGTCTGGTCGGGGCTTGTAGACAAGGAATCTATGAATGTGTCTCTCTGGCATCAATGTTTCTCTCTCTCTCTCTCTCTCTCTCTCTCTCTCTCTCCCTCTCTCCCTTCCACTTGCTCTAAAAATCAATGGAAAAATATTCTTGGATGAAGATTAACAAACAAAATAATTATTATAATAATTAAAGAAAATATCGTGCTAAGTGAAAGAAATCAGTCACAAAGGACCATGTGTTCTGTGATTCCATTTATATGAAATGTCCAGAATGGACAGGAAGCAGGTCAGTGGCTGCCTAGGGTTGGGAGAGGATGGAAACAAACTAACAGTTAGGGGATGTGGGTTTCTTTTGCTTGTTTTATTATTATTATAGAGAGAGAGAGAGAAGAGAGAGATGTGTGCAGGCACCCACCCACCAGAGGTGAGGGACTCGGGTGATGACTTTCATCCTTGCCCTTCCCATGTCTCATCGCATTCAACCTCCTGCTCCCCCCTCTGCCCCACCAGGGCCCCGGGGCAGGTCCCAGCCCAGAGAGGAGGGGTTCTTTCCTACCTGGGTCGTTTCTGAAGGAGATGCCTATAGTGAGGTTCCCTGGGGCATCTGGGATAGAAAGATAGGGCCCCACTTCAAATGGAAGTCACCCCAATCCCAAGGAGGGGCGGTGGGAACCGGGAAGGAGGGGTTCTCTCCTTCTGGCCCCCTCCCCACCTACACGCAGATAACACAGATGTAGGCACCCACCCACCAGAGATGAGGGACTCAGGTGATGCCTTTCATCCTTGCCCTTCCCATGTCTGATCCCATTCAAACTCTGATCCCCCCTCTGACCCACCAGGGCCCCAGGGCAGGTCCCCGCCCAGAGAGGAGGGGTTCTTTCCTACCTGTGTCGTTTCTGAAGGAGACGCCTATGGTGAGGTTCCCTGGGGCATCTGGGATAGAAAGACAGGGCCC